TCATATAAGCTCCAAGTCATTTCTCACATGTATTTAGTAAAGCTTGAAAAAGCAACCCAGTATAGAGAGGACAGCAGCAGGCTACATTTCAGCATTCTGAAAGTTCTTTCTGTAAGCTTCTACACCAAATAGTGCCAAGTCTGTTTCTGTTGTCAGAAATTAAGATCCAACAATTCTAAGGTATACTGGAGCTCAGGGATACAACCTGATTTAAAAATTGGAAAATGAAAATCTCTATTACCTTGCTATCACACAAGAAATTTCAGAACATATATAAGATAATTAGGAAGAAGTTCATAAATTATAGTGCAGCTGACACATCACACAGCATTTAAATTTCTTCTAAAGTCAAACTTTCAAACTGTTTGAAAATAAAAGATAACCTTTTCTGCTGAATTTTAACAGTTGATTTAAACTCAAGAATTTCACCTGCAGAGGCCTCAGTGCAGACTTTATTTACATCAATCCCAGCTTTCTGCTACTAACACTGACAAACATCAGCTCCTCCGTGAAGCTGCCTAAGTTTCTAATATATACTTGGGACACAAGTAGAAATTTCTTCCCCAGAAGGCCCCCAAATAGAGATTCATTTTATTAATATATTTCCACAAAAAAATAATGAGTATGGAGATAAAGAGTTGATTTATACAGCAGACAAATGGATTGAGTCCAAGTACCTCAGGGAAGACACACATTTGAGAACAGATGCATGGACAAATCCACTGACAAAAGATTTACATGCTTTGGAATATACATTCTAGAAAAAAAAAAATCAATAACAGGACGTTAATTAGACATTAACTTGGGGTCATTAACTTGGTTTACATTTGCTACCTTCCTGACAAATGTTAAGCATATGTGCTATACTTAGATGCAACCTGGCAAATTTCATAGAATCACAGAACGGTTAGGGCTGAAAGGACCTTAAGATCATCTAGCTCCAACATAATCGCGCGTATTTAGGAAGGAAACTGAAACAAAAGCCCCAACGTTTGTTTGGAAGCAGTTTGCTGTTCTAACAGCAACAGATCTAACAGCACACTGTTCCTCAGCCGCACGCCAAAGCTGTGAAGGCTCCCCAGGCTCCTGCAGGAATAGCAGAGAGCAGACTGCCACCTGTCTTTCACAGCGCACAGCAGCAACGCTGTAGCCTGGAAAGTAAAGCAAACCTAGCGCGTACGGTTGACAAATACACCTCAAAAGGGTCAGTTTGAAAAACGGTTCTAGTGTTTAACAAAAATCAGCCCACACCTTCTTTTGAAACAGTTAAAGCTTCATGAAATGCATTAATAAAGAGCAAATGTCTAGTCTGTAAATTAAAACTGTTTCTGAATAGGAATGTATACACATGTCAAAGAGCATAAAAGGATGATAATGAAGAGAAACAGGCTGATTAACAGTAATCTGGAGAACTCAGCACTGACAAGAACATCTCCATAAAATGATGCTATAGAAAATTCAAAGCTCCTCCGTGCTGCTTCCTATAATTACGGGAGCAGCAGTACCAATCCATCTCAGGAGCTGTAGCAACTTTAGAACAATTACCAAACATCCAGATCATATCAAAATTTTATAAACCAGATGTTAAATGTAAAGCTAAATCACAGGTCACTGCTATTCAGAAGTCAATCATCACAACATATTAACTCATTTCTAGATACTGCTCTACATTAAATAATACAGTGTTGGATCACACACAGTCTCCTCCCCACTATCACCCGACAGTACCAGTAGGTGTGTACTACCATCAACTGATAGTAGTGGTGGTACACACCTACTACCAGCTGATAGTACTATCACTATCCACTTACATGTCCTACAGTATAGACATAACACCCAGCTCACACAGGGAGCCCTTGCAAATCAGACTGCAGCAAACGGGCTGCTTCCACTCATCCCAGGAGTTCAGCTGCTCCCTTGGCTGAATTCCTCCACACAACTTCTAGCACAGAAACTGAAGTTCACAGGAGGCTTATGTGGCATTTCTGCAGTTCATGGCTTGTAACATACATTTTACTCACTGAAAAGTAATGAGCTTCACTCAATGAAAATCCTGTATTTGTTCAAGACTACATCAACAGAAGTTAGAAGCCACGTGGTTTCCCTAAGTAGCTGGGGGAAAATAAAAAAGAAACCCACACAACTTTCTCCTGAAAACAGCAGCAATACCTAGTTACCACCCTTTGCATCCCTGCCCAACAGGAAATGAGTACAGCAAACCCGATATAACCAAAGTTTATGGATCATTACAAAGTGCACAAGCACTCCTACTACCTCTAAGTATTTTAAGAAATCAGCATTGGTTAAAGATTAAAAGAAATGAGACACTACAGCTATTAATGCCTACAGCTTCCTCAACCAAAACAAAACTGTTACAACATCCCAAGGAGTACGCAGTACAGTTTAAAAGCAAGTGTTTATGCTACTTAGTTCAAAACAACCTCTTGAACAGAAAAGTAAACTGCCCTCCTCCAGAGCAAAATCTCATCTCTCAACAGGACTCCTCACAGCTGTTCAGCATTAAAATGAGAAAATGAGATGAATTCATTAGTAAATGTCATAAAGTCATATTATCAGTACCTGCTGGAGAGGAAGATGGGAACACAGCGCAAAATACAGAAGTCTACCGAAATCTAAATAACTAGACTAAGCAACATACCCCAGGCCATACCTCAGCCTTTCAAGGCAGCAATACACTTTTGATTGACTATCCATTCTATATAATGACATCACCAAGTTCAACAATCCTTGGTAAGTCAAACTTTGCTAAACTGAGTCAGTCTTACTCACCTAACAACCAGAAGACGCTGAAACCGCTGGAACCAAGATCTGACTGCAGTTTTCATTATGAAAATATCCATTTTTACTAGATGGGCTAGCATCACACCAGCTTTCCACACAAAAAAGTTCAGACCAAGAGCAGCCTGTCAGCTATCCAAAAACAGGGTCTTGAAACGCTACCTTAGGGCTGCTGAAGCTCACTATTACTGCAACTTTAACAACAGTTTTTAGGTTTAGGTTGGTTTTTTTTCACTGTAATCTCACAAATTCTAGCCATTCACGAGGGTGCATGTGTGTGCACAGACTTCTGCCAACAGCCCAGTCTGCTGAAGGGATGCACTGACCCTCCACACCTGTTGCTCCCCCCTCCCCCCCCGACATAATCCCGAGCAGGTTATCGTTGTGTCAATCTAATGTGCATATATAGCATCTGCAATGACACAACAAACCCTAACAGCTGTCATTTACCTGGTAAGAAATCCTCACAAAAAGATGGATTAATACAACAGACCCAGGTGTTTCCTTCTGCGTTGCTGTGGAATGGTAACTCAAACTCCTCAATTCAGAAAATGCCAAAATACGGTCACACCACAGACCGAAGCCAGTCCAGATAAGTAACTGCCACAATAAAAGTACATTAGGACTTTGGATGGTACTGCAAGAATATCCCACCGAAACCCCCACGTTTCTCAGGCAACTGCGATGCCCTTCACGCCGTTCGTCTTCTGCTCTCACCGCAAGACGAGGCAGAGCAAACTTCACTTGCCGAAGTATGACAAAACCCCTCGGAGCCACCGGCTGCCCCTCCCCGCACCCGGTGCTCAGCGAGCACAACGCACCTCACGCTCCTGGGCGAGAAAACCCTCCCGCGGTTGCGACCCCGGGGTAGGGGCGCCGGGGGAACAGGGCAACTGGAACAGTTCGGCTTTGAACCCCGCTAGAGACACTGCTGCTTCTTCTCCCGAGCAAACAGCACCGTCTTCGGGGAGAACGACCGCCCGTTCTGAAAAGCTCGGTGGGCTCTCGGGGGCGGGGCGGCAATGCCCGAAGCAGACTCCCACCGCCCGCAGCGCTCCCCGGCACCGCTTCGCCTCGCCCCCAGCTCCCCCTGCCGGCACCCTGCCGCTCCGGCGGCCGAGACCCCAACCAGCTCCCTCTCCCCCCACCGGCTTGCCCCGGCGCAGCCCCGAGGAGCCCACGGGAGGCGGCCCCGGGGTGGGAGAAGACGGCCGGGAACACGCCATCCCCCCCCCCCTCAGCGCCGCTCTCCGAACACCGCCCCGAGCATGAGCACCGCGCGGGGGGAGAGGGACCAGGGAGGACGGGGGTTACCTGCAGGCACCGTAGGGCCGCCGGGCGCGGTGATGCCCCGCTCCCGGCGCGGTGCCGCCGCCTCACGCCGCCATGGCCGCAGCCCCGCCGAGCCGCCCGCGCCCCGCTCTCTCCCACCAAGTTTGCGGCGCGGCAGCTGCGCGCGTCGGCCGGACCCAGCGCCCAGCCGCGGAGGCGGGGCAGCGGCAGCCGGGGCGGCCGCCCGCTCCCGGGGGTGTGCGAGTCGGGTCCAGTCGTCGCGCTGCCCGCAGCCGCTCCCCGGGCTGGGGTGATGAGCTCGCATTACTCCCTTCCCTCCCCTGCGCTCCCCCCTCCGGGCCAGCAAAGAAGTTGCCAGTGGTTCAGATATTTGCGTTTCGGGTTTGTTTTTTTTATTATTTTATTATTTTGGGGTTTGTTTGCTTGGGGGTTTTTGTTTGTTGGTTGTGGTTTTTTCCCTTCTCGCGTCACAAAAATCACGACCTGAGGCTTCTCCTCCCGATCAGATCTGAGCAGCGGCGCCCCAGCGCCAGCACAACTAAGCACAACAAATCCTGCCGAACTGCAGCAGCGACAGCGGGAGGGAGGGAGGAAGGAAACAGTGGGAAAGCAGCGGGCGAGAGCCAGAGCTGGGGTACTGGTGCTGGGGTAGTGGTGCTGGGGTACGCAGGGCCCCCCGCGGGATGAGACGCAGCAGGTAGAGGAGACGAAGGAGAGCTGGGCGCCGGCGGCTGCAGGGGCTGCCCCGGGGTAGGAGAGGCACGGGAGTACCTCAGGAGTGTCCGGCCGTGCCGAGCTGCGCTGCCGGCTCCCCGCACACGCGATCCTCCCCGCACACCGTGCCCCCTTCCCGCGCCGGGAGCCGACGAGGCAAATCCCAGTGTTCTGGGCCCCCGGGACCAGCCTGGAGCCGCGCACCGACGGCCCAGTCCTGGTTCCAGTGCCTCCCCGAGAGGGAGCGCCCAGGCCCCCTGCTGTGCAGCGCTGGCATTTTTGCTACCGCTTAGAAGCCTGCGGCGTGTCCCTCTCCGCCCCCTGCCCTCCCCTCCCCGCCCTCCCCGGCACAGGATCGACGTGTCAGCCCCGAAAGTTCATGTTCGGGCCCCGGGCGAGTTCCCCGCGATGCGGCGGTCCACGGGCAGCGAGACGTGGCGCCCCGGGGCGGGGGGGGGAGGCGCCGGCACCTTCCTCAGGTACGTACGTTCGCGTTTCCGCGCTCACCCTATTTTCGATGCATGCTTTTGTGTTTAGCCAAGCCATCTGTAGCAAACCGAGAGGTTATCTGTGCGCGTACGTGTGTTGAGTTCCATCAAAGCTTCTTTTATGGCAGCATTTGCACGTTTCTACTACAAACCGCAGCAGAAACTGACTCGTGTTGTTTGCAGCAAGACCTCCACGCAGACTAAAAGCACCGAGTTTATTAAAACAAACAAAAACGTGGAACGGATCCATGCTAGAGTAATCCTATGAAAATACACTTAATTAAAACAACTAGAATCAAAACTTATCTGCAAGCCAAAATGTTGGTAATCCAAATTGCCTGAAACATCCAGCTCAAGGGAGAATGTTTCTTTGGCTGTGTTATAAAAGAAACTTGTTCAAGGAGAAACATTAATGAAAGTTTGAAACTATTATTAAGAATGAAGCTTTGGAATTTGGAGCATTCTGATTGCTTGTTAGTATTTAAAAAGAGGAAAAAAATCCCACCAAAAACCCCAACCAAACCATGAAAGCAAATACTGAAGGCCAAACTTTTTTCCATTACAGTCATGTAACCCTGACAGTCAAGGATGTTTCCATATTTGTAACAACACCACTTTATAAGACACTGATGCAAAGTATATTTATGTAGGATCACTTTCCTGTTCAATTTGCTCACTCCAGAAAATACTTGTATAGAAAATAAAAGAATTTTACGCCTAAAAAGTACCATCAAACTAAATGCAGGTATGGGACAATCCCCATATACACTCTATGAACTTGCTTGGTGTGGTTTTGAGACGTATCTGTTCACATCAGCAGGTCTCATGTTTCTAACATATCTCCACCTCTGAAAATAACTTTAGACTTTATTTTAAAGAGGAGATATACTTGTTTTTCCAGCTGCTGGGGGGGGGGGGGGGGGGGGGGCAAACCGACAAAGAACCAAACATACCAACTTTTGTTACCAACAGTGACAGAACATCAAAATTTTAGTACCTGGTGTGATGGGCATTATAGCCCCCAAAAATTCCCCTGCAGTTTGGCTATGAAACAATGGGCATATATGTATAAAAAATAAAAAAAAGAATAAAAAAAAAACACCAAATAAAACAAAAAAAAACCTCTCCAAACCTGCACATTTATAGTTGTATATGATACTGGATAAATGATGTACACCCTAAGAAAAATTCCACTGGAATTACATTTTCTCTATATTATCCCCAGAGATTTTAAGTCATGCGCTTTGTGTCTCACGGAAAAACAGCAATGATGTCAATGCTTAATTCTATTTCATTTTATTTGATTTTAAGAAGCAAAAAGATGGCAAAGATATATTAAGGTGGCCATGAGATTAACCATGTTTGAAATAAAGCTACAAAATGTAATGTTATTTAATGTTGCGTGTTACTCTGCACTATGTTTTTGTGCAAAGTTAAATCAGGTAAGCTGAGTGAGTAAGACAAGCAATTGTAGGCAACACAATGCCCAAGTGTACTCTTACAACTAGGGGCTAACATAATCTAGGAGTATTATGCTGAGAGTAGGTGAGAAAGCAAGAGGAGAAGCTCTGCTATCAGATAGGGGGAAGGAAAAAAAGGCTTCAGAGGACCAAGTCTAAATTCCATCAAGCTTTCCTTCCAAGGGAGATCTCCTCTTCCTCTGCCCTGTATTCTCCTGTCATATTTCTTAGTGTTACTAATTTGTGATTCCTCCTTCCAACACAGTAAAGCCTAGCATGTGAAGGGATGGCAGCCACATGAAAGCAGTAAGGTACTGCAGTTGAAAGAGGGAAGGCTGCGCAGCACCTTCAGGCTTTTGGCCAGTTTGGTAGGAAGCCAGATTTCAGCTCCTCCCTGTGGTGGCAGGATATAAGCAATGTTAGAAAGCAGGGAGGGGGTGGATTTCCATCTGTTTAGGTGGGAAAGCCATGGTGTAAGGGAAGGCCTGTCTTCACATTACCTATCAAAAGCACCTTGGGTATTATGTTTCCTTCATAATTTAGAAAAACAAGGCCAAATACTGTAAGTCCAAAGTTTAAGTTAGGATAAATGGAAAAAGAAAGGGGGAAAAAATGAGGGAGGGAGGAGTTAGCTTCAGTAAAACTGGACCTTGAGCTATGCTTCCGTTGTAGGCTTCACTCACTTCACAATGACAGAGTTCGAAGGCTTTATTGCCATTGCATGTTGCTTTTTTCCACTCCATTGAAAACATCAGTTATTTTTGTTTAATTCATGATAAACATGCACAGAAAAGCTTTGAAATCTCACAGTTGCCTGCTTTTGTTTTTTCAACCACATCGTCTATTACTCAGGAGAAACTCCCCTGGTGACCAGAAACTTTCCAGAGCAGAGCAGCCAGTAGCATGGTGCATATGAACAAGCTCACTTTCCTGAACCAATGCTAAAGAACAGAGAGTTTGTGCAGTCTGGTGTCTTAAATCCACCTTGCTTATGTGACCTTGCTGAGAGACCTGTTTCTCAGGTCTACAACACTGTTTTTTCCTCCTTTACCTTTGAGATACGGGAAAGTATTTGCTCTGTTGCATTTGAGTTGAGCAGGTCCTCAGCATTCCTGTCTACATTCCAAGCTTCGATCATCACGAGCCTGCCATATTTAAATGTCAGGGACTTCTGATGTTACTATATGTAAAAATAGAAATGACGTCTTCATCCCAGGAAAGCACATGACCCAGAGGATTTAAGTTTGCCATCCACAGGTGGTTCCGGTAGGGAAGCATACATGTCTTTTTTAGTAGGGCATGCAAGGCTGTTGCTGTGTACCCCCGGTAGTGTGTAGCACCATAGGTCAGACTGAGCAAAATTTTAATTGTCTTAGCAAAAGGCACCATTGCAAGACATGCTTTAAATCACAGAGAAATAAATGCCAGCATTACAAACTCACTGCTGTTTTCTGTCAAATTATTGTCTTACATCATGTGTTGTGTTTAAAGGTTACACTGACTAGTATCTGTAATATCTGTGAATTAGGAAAAGCAAGATGAGAGTCTAAATTACTTGGCTTTCAAGAGCTAGATATTCTGATGAGTTTAAATTTACGATTTGTAATCAAAAGAGAGAATAAAGTAGTATTTATCATGGCATTTCTATGATTAAGGCTTATTTCTATGAATGCTAAGGTGATATTTTCAACACAATTATATAATATAAATAACTGTTCACTTGCATTTACAAATGTTTGAGCTGATTTTTAGTAACAGCCTCTTTCTTTTCATTGAAGACTGTGACAGATAAGGCAGTTAAAGTTGTTATATGAACCTTCAGTAAGGGCTATCTAACTTTTAAGTCCCTAAAAGTAGTCAGGCATTTGGTGAAAATGATGAATTCCTGGGTACTGATTCATGTGATATGAAAAAGCCATCCATTTCCTGATTCACCTTCATATCTCCTGCAGGAAAAAAAGAAGAATATTTTACAATTAATACCTGCAGTCAAACAATTTTTGTGTGTATGTTTTTCTATCTTTCAGCTACTTCCTGAACTGATAAATTCAAAATGAAGAGGAAGATAGGAGTAAGAACAAAGAATGCCTTGGAGAAAACCAGTCATAAAGTTTGAGAAGCAGAAGCATTAGGAAATATTGATAACTGTGGTCTCTTAAGTAGGTCAACATTTGGACTGAAATGATGAAAAGTCACAAACCTAAGACATGAGCCTTGTTACATTTGAATGTAGATTTACAGATTTTTAAATTAAAACATAATAAAAATATTTGCTTTTTTTCTTCTACTTTGGGTAATATATTCTGCTCCCTTGAACAACTTTCTTATATAGACCAGTTTAAGTTTTAATTATTTGGTTGTTAGCTCCAAGATACCTCCTCAAACTAAGCCAGGGTGTATGTTAGCAATCAGTTAGTTGCTCCTCTCTGTCTCAGGTCCATGGTCATTAATACTGGATTCCCGTATTACTACATCACCCAGAAGTACGAGGGGAATTTTGATAAAGGGTACATATATAAATATATGATCTTATAATCTTACTACTGCCAAATGGTCTGAAGCACAGGATAAAGAGCTCATCTAGTCTTCAGGCTCTTGTGCTGGCCTTTTGGGGGAAGTGTGGCCAGAGAGGGTACTTGGCCTTTCTAGAATTAGTCCATCACAGTTTTTAGAAGAAATCTTAACCAGGTGTGTAGTTCTCATACTTGGGTAACGTTCCTGTGACACTGATCTAGCATCAGGAGCCCTAAATCAAGTTACCCCATGAAAGCACACCAAGCAGGCAGTAAGCGCCAGGCAGTGAGGTGCAGGACATGAGAAGTGACAGTGCAGTCGCCCATGCACAAGAGTTTTATAGTAAATTATCCAAGTAGGCCAACCCTTAAGTCCTTTTTACAAAGTAATTTAGCTAAATTAGAGCAAACCCCTGTGTGAACATTCTTGGTTTGCTTTGAGCATATCTTAAATCCACTAAAAAAATACATGTAAATTAAACTGAAAAGCACAGAAGAGATAAAGACTAATCAGAAAAGGATTTTCCTATAAAGTCTGACCAACTGTCTTTAATGAGGGTTCACTTACGTCTTTAGTTAAGCGCAGACAGCATATTTATGTGACCAAGATGTTGCTCACCCTCTGCCACTTCACTTTCTACAGCTCACAGTGAACACAATAAGCTAGCAGTACTTGTCAAGAGCATTTATGTAGGAAATAAGACAGTCAGGAGCTTATCAAGATGAAGAGATCATAGATCCATTTTCCCAGCCATACATTCCCTACTGGATCAGATCATTTAATAGCAGCAATAAAAATAACAAGTCCAGTTCAAGTGTTATTTTCCTTAGCTGCTCCTAGAGTTGCCTGAAAAAAAAAAAATGGAGGGTGTTATTTACAAGCAGCCTTTTCAGTCTGGAATTGTTAAAGATCAAAATGCCTAACAACTAGAAAGTGGCTATAGAAGTAGTGCTAGGCAAAGAAAAAAGATAAATCAAAACTAATGACTGTTTATCACTGAGGGGAAAGAAAAAGAAAAACCAAACAAAAAACCTGAATTTATTTGTTTTGCTGATTTTACTTAGATACTAAAACACGCACCTCACAATCTCGTCTTCTGTCCCATCATTAGTCCAACTCATGTGAGACTAGAGCAGTAGGACTGTCAGGAGGTACCTACATCATCCTACACTTGAGAGGAAGCCAAGCCCACAGCCCTGCAGTTTTTATGCATCTCTGTTGGCACTTATGTATTTAGCAACTCTGTTCTGCCTGTCTGTTCATGGTCAAACATGTAAGTGTCACATGTAGGTGAGGGAGTTTCCCCTACCAAATGTCATTTACAGTTGGTCTGTGAACTGGGGACAGAGGATATTGGTCTCCCATCACGCTGTTGTTGATACTCCCTTTTGTATCTGATCCCTGCCTCAAATCCTGCCCTTATGGTACACAGGTGTCTGCTTTTTTAAATGGGTTTCAAAAGTCATCTGTAAGCAGTGCCAAAAACCTGTGCAAAATCTGTGTTGGGCTGAACTCTCTGCAGTCAAACCTTCTGCCTTCATGTAGTGCTCTGTTCCAGAGTGATGCTTAAACAAACCAAAGGGATCCCAGCATTCCCCAAATGATTGTGAACTTTGCTGACAAAGAGTAGAGCATCTGTTTATTGCAGGCAGTCCATTTAAAAGTGCACAGCTGTTTTCCAGAAACTCTTAAAGAGATATTTTTTTATTCAAGTATGCATAAATCAGCCTGTGTTGTGACTCTCTCAGTTCTGGGTATAAGGAGTTGCCCAGAGAAGTTGTGGCTGCCACATCCCTGGCAGTGTTACATGCCAGGCTGGACAGGACTTTGAGCAGCCTGGTCAAGTGGAAGGCATCCCTGTCTGTGGCAGGAAGGTTGGAACTAGATGATCTTCAAGGTCCATTTCAACCCAAACCGTTCAATGGTCCTTGATGAGCAGAAGTAGGAAGTTAGGTGATCCTAACATTTGAGTTTTCAACTTATTACCCTTAGCATTCTGCTAATGTCAGATGTTTGGTATAAGTTCCGTTATTAAATGTGTATCTTTCTTACTGCTTTTCATAGCCTGAAGCTGTTGTAATTACTGAAATTATTCAAAACAGAAGTATTGTATTCAAAATGGTTTTTATTGTTTTTCTTTATATTTTACTTTATGAATACTACTTTATTAAAAATACCCCATGTTAATTATTTGGCTGGACACATGAAAACATGTAAGAGATTTTGCTGAAGATGGGAACACCTAGCCTGAGTCAGCTCCAAGAAGCGGGAATTTGATTTTCAAAGCCTAAAGTTCCATAAAATAAGCCACATTGCAAAACACTTAGCATAAGGAGGGATGTCCAGACATGCTATGAAAAAAGATCAAGAGCTCTTTGATACAAAACTGCATTTTTTTTTGCAGTTTGTCCCAAGTCCACTTAGATTATTAAGGCTTTTTACTAGATAATGAGACGGGGGTTCATTAGAGAGACCAGGTAAGAGGAAGGAAATTTTAACTTTGTAAGTCCACCATCATGCTCTAAATGCTACTGAAAGAGACCAAGATTGTAATGTCCATGTGCCTTGGAATACCTCTTGTTTCTTAATGCACATTGTCAATTCAGAGCAGAAGCTGAGGGCTTGCAAAGGGGTTAGTGTGTGCACTGATGGTGCTGTATAAATAAAATAAGGCTGCCCAGTATTTGTTCTTTCATCAGCCATATGTTTACAAGGACTTTAAAGGCTAAAATTTTAAAAGTAGCTTGTAGCATGACAAAACTATTAATGAAATAATTTGCATAAAACCATCAGATTTCAATCAGGTTTGGCAACTGTGGACAGAGATTCTAATTAAAAAGACAAAAGTGAGTAAAAGAAGAAATACATAGGAGCTACATGACTAACGCTATCTTCTGTATTGTAATAATCAATTCCTTCTACCGAAAGGAGAATATTAGTGATAGGACTCAGTCAACAAGTGGAAAAAACCCTTGAATTGTCTCAAGAAAAAAAGGAGAAAAATAATAACATTCATCCAACTACAGTCCAAAGCCCCTGTGCCTGCAGACATTCTTGACTTTTTACAAAAATTGTCTATGCATTATGCCCCAAAGACACAGCAACTTGGACCACAAGATAGGAACTAATGCTAACGTTAAGGACTTTTCTGAATAAAAATCTTACCAAAGCTGTTTATGTTGAGCACTTATTAAAAGCAGATAACTAGCACAAAGGAAGAGACATGTTCGTTCCAGAATGTGTATGCACAGGAGAGAAGCAAGCAGTCACTCAACATTGTAGATGATTGACAGCTTCTGGTTGTAGCATGATAAATCATCTAGCAAAAAAAACCCAAATCTGACACGTATTTATTAGCATTAGGCTCTGGGAGAATTTTGCATTGTGCTTTCTCCACAAGACAGAAGCAGATGCAATGTCATAGCGGCTGCATGTGGAAGCAAGCAACTCCATCAAAAATCTAGTGAAGAAACCTGCTTTTCCTTAACTGTGTCTTATCTCTGAATGGTGATGCCTTCAGGTCCTCCTGCTTTCCATACACTGGGAAAGGTGTAAACTATGCTCCTCTATCCCTGCTTTACCCATGTCGTCTGGCCTCCTGCCCTCCCAGCCCAAGCCCCCAGCCTGGCCAGTCACCTGGGCAGGGCACAAGTGTTAGGGCCAGGCTAGAGCTTGACACTGAGTGCCAGCGGATTGACAAGCAGGTTACTACTGACCATTAGCTACCACACATGCTGCCTTTAAGAGTCTGGCAGGGCAAAAATGCTCTCTGTGGTCCAGATGGGACTGTTCGGTGATTTTGAAGACTATTAGAGATTGACTGATAGTTTAGGCATCATTTTAGGCAACCAGGATAAAAATTGAAATTTTTTAAGTCCTGACATTATATTTATTTCATACAGCAACTTCATTGTTGTGGTTGATTTGGTTTTTGTTTTAAATTAGATATATATAAGTTTTCTCAAATTAGAGCAACAAAGCAAATATTTGCATGTATACCTGAAGTGTAATGAAAAAGCAGCAAATAAGTATGCTCTATAATAATCTTTATTCTTTGAACGTTTATTTAATTCACCTGATTTCCCTTCTTCTGATTTGTGAAGCACTCTTGTAAAAGAGAAAGCAACAGGCCTAGATGTTTGTATAGCATAGCCAGATTTAGGTACTCTTCTTTTTAAAAAGAAGTGGTCCCAGTAAGTCATCAACACTGAAGAGCTCCAAAAGACATATCACGTGGTCAAATTTTGCCTTTTTACTGGTTCTGGGAGTTCACTGTAGGAACACAAGTTTGGTTTAGATGTATTAACTGTTTCTAAACTATTCAGGTTTTGTTTGGTTTTGTGTTTTTTTTCTTTTAGAGAGGGAATTGTTTGAGGCAAAAAGCATATGAACTGGCAAAAGTTCTTTATGGTCATAAATGCTTTCATTCTGCTGCTGTGACCAAAAGCAATGCGAACAGATAAAATACTACTGTTTATATAATTTTGTTTCATGACAGTTGGGGAAATGACAAGATTAACATAATTTCCAAACACTTCTACTCCATGTTTAATGGTTGATATTCAGAGGGTCAACAGTTGTGGAGCTGCCACCCTGAATACCTGGACACTCTTAACAGCAGATTGTCAGGAAGAGCTTCCCACTTGCATGACTCAATGGAGCCTTTCTTCCTCACTAGAAGCAGTAAGAGCATCTGTAAACATTTTGAAGTTTTGGTCAACGGAAAATCCTTGGCAAAGGTTTTGTTTCTTTTTCCTGACTTTACTAGGAGCAAGAATGGGTTATATGATTTCTAGGTTGATACAACCAAAAGCCTTTTAAGGAAATAAAATGCCTGCATTTTCTTGCACAGCATTGGGATTTACAGTTTGAGGAAAACTAATAGATACCGTAACTAAATAAAGCTCAAAAGTTCCTGCTGTATTTAGCGACACCTTGAAGTACACTGCAAGTCTTAAAAGTGACACAGCGTGAAAAAGTACTCTTTAAGACTGAATCAATTACATTCTCCTTGGAACTCTTTATGAAGAAACTCACAAAACAAAATTCAAATGCATATTCTGCGCAGCAAAGACAACTAAAGAAATCAGCAAGGAAAGACTTAGAGGGTAGCAAAATACTCTTTGTATTTGTTAGGTGAGCTCATGAAAGAAAACCAGAATTGTGTGTTCTCATTTTAAATGATAGCTTTCCTTTCAGTTCTGAAATTGAGATCACTCATCCAGAAATACAGCTACTAACATATACCCTGTGTTCAATAAATATGCAACATCAAGAGTAAAGGTTTTTGATCTACATAAGAGCACAACAATAGTTGTTACGGCTGACGCTGCATTGTCATCCATATCATACCTGATGAAACCAAAGAGTTTATCTCTGTACATTTACTCAGTGGTTAGCACAACAGGACTCTGCTTTGGCTTGGATCTACCAATGGCCATTACTCTTATTAAAAAAAAAATAATGATAACAATAAATTGATAACAGCCTTTCTGTGTGATATAAAGTTACACACTGTGATTTTCTGGGGAGGCTGTTACAGTTAAACTCTTCAAATCTGGTAGGGAAAAAGCCACAGGAGTTCAGATATTGTAGTCACGTATAGAGATTTGAGAATCCCATAAGACTGTCAGGACCTAGGAATGGAGTGCCTAAATACATCTATTTAAAATATCTGTAAGGGTACATTTGCTTCTCAGAAATTAATTACCCATCTTTTCTTGGTATTTATTTTCTCCTTCTTACAGCTCCCTTCCCTGTAACTGATATTAACGTGCTGAAGGAATGAACAAGCCCTACTGATTGTTTTCTCTGGTAAGATTATAAATGAAAACACATTTGAGTAAAGCCTGTGGAAAATGTAATTTGTTATGTCACAGCAATCACTCAGCATGCACACAGCTCAATTTGACAATACCAGACCCTGCTTGTTATAAAACCAATAGCAATTGGCCTCAAGGAAAGAAGGGTAAATGAAGAAAGACTGGTAGCTTGTGGGCTCAAACTAGTTTGGGTCATCTGGAGCTAAAACGGAATGTTTTAACTTGCCAAAGCAGAGTGGAGGCCAAATTTAAATCTCATGTCTCATTTCAAAAACATTCCCTATCTTTTACCAAATTCCTTTTGATTATTTCAGAATAGAAAAGAGGGAAAATGTCATGTTATGTGTGTATATATATGTATATATTTATATCACTTAAAACACTTTCTAAAAGGAATAATGAGAGTGTAACAAGAATTAAATACCAGATTTTCAATGGAGCTTGCCATAGGCCAACTTCAATTCCATCCACTTAAAAGGAAGCAGTACACAACTTTTGATAATCCGTCAGTGCCACACTTGTTTCAATTCAATACGACCTTATTAGAAAAGCTTCATTTTGTAAAAACCCAAGAGCTTTGCACCAGTGTCTGGATCAAAAGAGAATTTTTTTTTTTTCCCTCCAAATGTTTGTTACTGCTAGCATAATGCTGAATGCATAGCAGATCCAGTGCAAACAAGGCTGATTCCCCCAGGATCCTGCTGAGTTGACAGCCACTGATGCTGGACCAGAAGCTTTGACAGTGCTGTTCCTCTGGAGCCACTTTTTAAGCTGATCTCCAAACGTTGGGTGAACAAGCGTACAACAGACAGAAAATTCTTCTGCAAATAGTAAAACCAGAGGATAATATTAAGCAAGAATCATAATTCACTACAAATCTCCCACTATGGCATCTCCTGATCCTGTCAGACAGCTGGAAGAACCATAGAGTCCAGGCTAACTCGACTCAGCTCCACACCAGAAAGTCAAGAGCAAAGAAGGAAAGCTGGAAACACTTTACACAGTATATTCACTAGTGTGGTTGCTTACTTCTATTTTGTGTTTAGGGCTGGAGGATTGCTTGGTATGAAGGAAGAAGAAATTAAAGGGAAGCAGAGACTGAAATCAAGCAGAGGAGGAAAAGCAGTAAGGTACAAAAAAAATGAAGGGTAGGGACAAGGGAAAAAATATGCCGTCCTTCATTATGTCAACAAAATAATAAAATGTTTTCTCAGTATTGTCCCTGAAATTGACCCAAAAACCAGTTGGAGGGATAGTCCCTCCAACTCAAAACACTCTTTAGTGTAAGAGCTGGAATTAGGGCAATGGTCCAAGTGGCCTGTGTCTGATGTTCACCCATAACAAACACTTGAGAAAGAGTTTAGCAAGGCCATCAGTGATTAATGACATACAGATATCTTGTACATTTATACAGTCTTTCATAGACCCATATTTCCATAATGTATTCCATGATTGACTTCACGCATCCACAGCATCCTAGGGTGAGGAATGTCACAGCTGAGATATGTTTTGAGAAGAAGTATTTCCTTTTGTTTTGAACATCTTCCTACCTAGTCTCCTGTGTCATTGTATCGTAAGACACAGTGACTAGTCATTCCCTATTTGCCTTCTCCAGATATCAAACAATTTTTGGAATCTCAATTTTCTGTCTTCTCAGTCTCTTCTAGGTGGAGGGGCCTTGCTTAATTTATATAGTTCACAAGGAAAAGTGATTTCATAGTGCTGGTCACCTTGTCACCACTTTTTTGTATCCTTACTATTTCTACTATATTCTTACCAAGACAGGAGAAGCTAGAACTGCAAACAGCATTTTAGGATTAGGCATACTTTGGATTTATATAGCTTTAAACATCATATAGAACCATTAGGAGGTTCTCTGGGTTGCTCTTCATTTTCTACTAATTCCTAACATTCAGTTCTATTTTTGACTACCAGTGAGAGCTGAGCTGATGTTTTCACAAAAGTAGCTAACTGCAGTATCTTGTTCCTGAATGACAAGGGAGCAAGTTCAGAATCCGTCACTGCTCAGGCAAAGTTAAGGTTGTTTCCTTAATGCGACCCATCACATACAGGGTGTTTCATCTCTCACCATTCACTCACTCTGTGTCCTGAGGTCTTTCTGCAGAATTTGTAGTCACTGTTCATCTGTGCTACCCAAAATAACTCGGTATCATCAGCATGTGCTCAAGTGCCTCTTGCAGTACATGAAGACTAACAGATGAATTTTCATCAGATTGCATTAAACAGAAATGCTAAAATTAGTATTACAAGCACTTGAGCAAAACACAACAAAATGCTATACCTACAAATGTAGAGCATTCCACTCTGATCTTTGCTAAAGCTGAAAAAAAAAACCCCACAAAAATTGTCAGGACTACCACCTTTACAAAGAGGGATTTGCTTTCCAAACATTTTTTTGCAGCCTGCATGATTCCCTTGATGAACAGCATCAGAGTCTAAGACTTCAAAATTGAGTTCAAAATGATCAGTTTTAGCTGTAAGCTTATGATTCAGTGATGAATACTGACAAGAACTTTTTGACCTCGATGTTGTGACCAGGAAATACAAGCCAAAATTACAGCTGGCATTGGAGTGTTTTAAACAACGGTCAGATGGTGAGTCTGGTTATTTCTAGAGCTCTGCTGTGGTTACTGGGGAACTGCAAGAGCAATGACAGAACCGTAGCAAGAAAAACTGGTAAGTGTGAATTAAAGGCACAGTGCCAGACCAGCTTACAGCTTGCATCAGTGCAACTCATTCCAACTTCTAGTTACAGCTATAACTGGCCACAATTTAAAACATACAAAGAACACATGACTTAATGCTTTAGGTCAAGATGTGCTAAACAGATTAAGGTTTCAGGCACAAAAATCTCCTAGATAATAGGTTGGCCAGCATTCCCACATACTTTCTATTCTTCATTTTAATCAAGCAAATAATAATAATAGCTTAATTTATATAAAGGCACAATTTCCAAATACTCTCTCAGTACTATCTAAGACAAAAGAGGAAAACTAACAGGAGGGATTATGAAGAAAAAAAAAAGTGGATGAAGAAATAACTATTTTTGTAGAAAAACATTGTTAAATTGTTCATGTAATAAGCCTCTTTGGCTTCTGAATACATTTTAAAAGAAAGACAGGAATCTTTATGAACAAAAAAACAAACATAAAAAGATGTAAAAAAGAGAAGAAAACAGATTATTTTTGAAAACAAATGAAAACCAGGGTTAATATCCTTGACCTTTTAATGTCTAGTGGAAGGTGTCCTCTCCTATGGCAGGGGGGTTAGAACTAGATGATCTTCAAGGTCCCTTCCAACCCAAACCACTCTATGATTCTGTGATGATTCTATGTGTATCTGTTCCTAAAAACTCTAGTTGGGGGGGCATCACAAACTTCAACGATTGCTACCCATATTATTGCAAAATGGGTTTTGGGCTCTTTACCGAATGCCCTTATAATGGCATAAACCAACCTCTTCTTTTCACAATTGCAACAGAAAGCAGTTAATTTTCTTCATTTTCCAGATACCTGTAATGCTTATGTACTTTTTTTTTTAAATTGGAAAACTCCTAATTCCTTCATAATTTCCTCATATGTTACATTTTCTACACTTACAGTAGTTCCGGTTCATCTGTTCCTGATTCCCTCCTGGTTTCTTCTCACCTATAGACACCATTACCATCTTTACCTGAAGGATCTCAGATACTGCTTTGTTCCAGACCTCTCTTCTGTTACTGAAAACATTATATCAATTGGGTAAGATAAAGGCATGGCTTTTTGACATACTCTTGGGAGTGCCTGGCTGCCATCTCAAGTTCAGTATAGCTTAAACACAGCTCTGAGTCCCACCTTTGAGCCATCTTGTTCATGCCTCTTCTTCACATTCTCAAAGGACTCTCCTGTCCTGCCAGCCTCAAAGACCCGTAACCTGGCATCCAGGTTTAATTTAGACTCTTTTCTGTGCTCACAGAACCATCTCCAAAACTTAGCCTTTTTCATCCACTCACGCTGTTAAAATTCTCATTAAGGTCACAGTTATTTTACAGCTCACTTACTGTAACATCTTGGCCCTGACAAAGGCATTTTTGTCCCAGGCATATCTATTTATACACTGCTGCCAAGACTCTCTTCAAAACCCACCAGTTCGATTAGCTCATGCAGCTCTTTGCATTTTTGACAGTTCTCCTCAAATAAACAAAAAATTCAGTTTTTAAGACATTGACAGCTATTCTCATTTAGTGAATTGTTTTTCATTTATCATCCAGGGATGAGGTTCAAGCTTTAATTAGTCTGCATATTGCCCATCTGCTTATTTTTCAAAAATGCTACCTCTCAAGCCTACTTGAACTCCCCATAACATACATAACTTTAGGCTTTTCTCTTCCATGCCCCCCCCTTCATGCTCACCTCGTCACTGTAATTCCTAAAAATCCCTGCTTTTCCCCCTTCTCTCTTCCCTCCTCCCCCCCAACTAACTGATAACGATCAGTCTGCTAGTGTGTGGAAGACAAGTTCATTTTTCATTGTCCCACGATGTCGTTGTACAGGCCGGCTTGTCTCCAGTGTTTCACACTTTGTTTTGGATGGACAATATGCTCTGTTATATGTAATGAATGCCTTATCTGCACTTGGGTGCCCTAAGAACAATAATGATAACAAAATTGATATTTCTATTGTATCATATGAAAGCTGAACTGATCTAATCCAGCAAATAATTTCCTCAACTAGGATCTGCACAAACATTGTAGTTTAGGAAGTTCAGAAAAGCACAAACATCTGCCAATTAGAGTTGAAATCTTATTAGAGCTGCAGAGGCAGTAGTCCTACTTAAACTAGTATCATTATATATAAATGATGTTGGCAGACTTCATAAAATATGTCAGGGCAGAACCAGATGTTTCCTGGACTGCATATCCTCAGTAGGTTCTGCACTACCACTTTGCAAATGAAAGTGAAGGCCTTTTCAGTGAAGTCAGTTTCTCTCTTCTTTCCGGAAAGACCACCTGTTTTCTTATATTGTACAGAGACTAGTACATAAGTTACCAATTAAGTTTTCAATCACTCAGGCCTTCTAGGCAATTCTGCTAGTCTGACTTTGTCCATTTTCTATGTTAAAAATGCCAGGCTTCTAATTGAATTCTACATATTTCCTTAATCCTTGAATTTAGGGTTAATATTTCAACTCATTTGTGGTTTCAATCCTGTCTTCAAAACTTAAGAGCCTAAGCCTACTTATGCAACTTTCATTCCAGCTTTGACCTAGGAGTACGACATGTTTTTTACAAGAAGTGACTGAACAAGTCTATGCTACTAAATAGAAACCTACTTATATTTGCAAAGGTTTTTTTTATCTTGATACTCACAGTTCTCCATGCTCTCCACAAGCTAGTATTTTTTTCATAAGCAGCATTAGCCTGGATCTAGTGAACATGTATTGCAGGTTCAGGCTTTTGTTTAAAATGCATCCTATCCTTGTATCTTACTTATTATCTCTGCCATGAAATCTGGTTTTTCTATTCACAGCCATACATTGCTTCCATTAACTGTGATTTTTTATTATTCCTCAGACTGTAATACTTACTTCTACACACATTCAGATCCCTTTACAATTGTTCATATAGTGACATAATCTTGAAACCTGTTTCTCCAAGGCTAGGATTTCACAGAAGCTGGTAAAAGTAAAGGTACATTAGACATTCTGTATCTGAAAGAGGAATACTAATAATTAGGGGAAAGAAAACCGTAAAAATAAGCTGCTGAGCAGTTAGGAAGTATGGGTTTTCCAGCAAGAATCATCACTTAAACACATACACATCTCTGTAAACTTTCCTGTTAGAGCATTAAGTAGCTACTCTTAAGGATGGGGTGTCCAAGCCCCACTTACTATACACCTGAGACTGTTCTTGGTAGCTGTTTCTGATTAAGTGGTCAGTGTCATGGCCTGATTCACACTGCACTCAGGCTTTCTCAAGCAATGAAAGCTCAGGGTTGTATCTATTCCATCTCAAGCTACACAGAAAGTATTCCTGGGTTTTTATAGATATATATAGAAGCTGAGGTGTATTGCAAGAAACCCGTAATCCATTAGGTACAACTGCCTCATACAAGTAAAAGCTATTAGGTCAACACAGTTGAATTCCTTCTGCTTTTCCTTATACTCTCGATAGGGGATCAGAGAAAAGGCATGCATGAGACCTCACTCCTGATATTTGCAAGCATTCTGACGCCAGACTCTTCCTCCAGAAATAATAAGCAAAAAAAAAACCAACAAAACAATCTGAGTTGTTTTTGATAGTGATCAGGTCTTTAACTGGACTAATTCACTGTTGAAATGTTGATCTAATGATAGACCATTAAAAAGAACATTTGGGACTGATGAGAGATTGTCTCCTGAACAAAAATAATAGTTGTCAGCCATTGGTTGGGAAAATAACAAACAGGCTTTTCCATACTTGTTCACATATGATTTAGAGATGCATTGTCTGGGAACATCTGGTCAATGGAAATCTTTAAAGAAGGAATGTCTTCCAGGCTACCCTGATTCCCTTGCCTTCCACAATGTTTAAGCATCATCTCCATCTGGGTTCATACAGCAAGGCTCATCCAATGGTCCCAGTGAGCAACCCCCTATATAAATCAAGAACAGAGGTTTTGTGAGAAAGGTGCATCTTTATGAACATCCTTGGTTTAAGCTGAGATAGGAGACATACGTAGCGATTTGACATTCCACAGCCTGATATACCAACCTCTGCCAGCTCTGAAATAAAGGAAGGGTGATGTCTGGCTTCAGCATTGCTTAAGTGCAAGCTGACATGTGGCGTAACAGTCTGAAACAGCCTGAAATCTGTAGCTGACAGATTTATCTTGTGGTTACAGATGACCGTCCAGATGGACTGGAAATCTCTCCTCTGGAAGGTATGCAATTGCTATTTGCAGTCCATTTGAGTTACAGTGAGTGACAATTTGCTTCAGTTTCTCATCCGATTCAGCTGTTTGTAACAAAACTGAAGTTCAAGGACTGTAGTGTCATCCTAAAAGCAATGGCTTTAAGTAATTGAGCAGACATAACAGCATTAATTCCATATGCACAAGTAGTTGATGAATACTTTCTGTAAACACCCTTAGCTTTGGACAGAGTCTCAATTTTACTTTGCTGTGAATCACTGGTATTTTATGGAAAGGAATGAGCTCACAGTATGGAAATATGCATCATGAAGGAAGCTAAAAAGTGTCTTTAAGATTTTAAAAAAAAGAGAAAGGAAGGCAACATCACCATCCTGAGTCTAAGGCAGTCCAGTTTTCTCAAGTCAAAGACAGAAAAAAATACTGTTATTTTTATTTTGGGAAAATAAAAAATTCAGATTTTTTTTTTTTAATTCAGAAATTGTCAGTAGTCAACTTTTTCCCTTGAATTCCAAAGGCGTTTTCAATCTATCAGATACCAAAGAGATGAAGGATAGTTTTTTTTTCACATGTTATTCAAGACTCCATTAGAAGGATGAGAAAAGCCACAAAAAGAATCTGCAATTGATGAGAATACACAAAAGAGATGACTTCTAGGGCCTGACTAATGATTATTTTATCCCAGACCTAAAACCAAAGGTAAAGATGATATCTGAAGAGAGGGTTTGGGAAGAACTCTCACTTTTCTTCAGCATATTAAGCTTGAACTGTCTTGGTTATATCATAAATTGGTTGCATTTGTAAATGATGGCAGCTTTTAAAAGGAAAACTATTTTGTTAAAGAAGACAAGTTGGCTACCACTGCAAATATGCAGGTACTCTGTAGCTGTCTGGCCTTAGTATTTGAAGGGTTTCCACCAAAAGACTGGGATATATTTACAGTTATTCTTCCTAGGACTTTGCATGTCAAATGTTCATTTGCTTAAGAGGTTTGTGCCTTCAGGAGAAAAATGTTCACTGACTTCTCTTTTCAGAATTTTTCATGAGCCCTCTATGATTACAACCATTATAGCAAATTACATGGAAAAATAAGTAATTGTAAGAACCAAACTTGTAGTGTTACTCATGGAAACTTAGATACCCTTCAGAAAATGTAGCCTTTTATGATTTAGCTTGACACTGAAATCTGTTCACAAAGGCACATGCTTTGTTCTGTCAGTAAGCAGTATTTACATACTAATGTTAGTTTGCTAGGCACAGTAGGACTGAAATAGAGGAGTACTTACTTTTCTTATTTTATTCTGGCTTTTGGAGATCTTTATCCTGGGAACAGCTGTCATTAGAGAAAGCTGTTTAGCTTTCTTAGCATCTGGAATGATAGTAGCTGGTGTCATTTTTAAATGACTTCAAGATGTCTTCCAGGACCTAAATAGATTGATAATTGATGGCCTTTTTTCTCTGATCATTGATTTTTCAGTCTTAAGGGTGGCGCCAACTATAGATGGCACCTCTTGCAAAGCTCTCGGATCAATTGGGAGCATATGTAGAAGCAGAACAGTGTTTACTGATGTCATGATGATAAAGATGAAGGGCTCTTGGGAGAAGCTGCAGGGTAAGTCCTCATGATTAAAGATCTGTGTCTTCTTTGCTTACTGTGTGTTCATTGTCTCTGTCTTTAAAATGCTATTTGAGTGTTCTTGAAGCTGAGGCCACAAGGAGTATTAGGACATTTAAATTAGTAATACCCTGCAGATAAAATGGGAAGGAAATTTGCTTCTGCACCTTAATAAACTCAACAGTAAACTTACTCTGGATAGTACTGAAGAGGAGATAATTTGCACCAACAATAAATTAGCTACAATGATTTTCAGAATGATTACTGTAGTTTAGAGTGATGATGTAGAGCCTGTTTCAGTGTCACCACTGCCGTATATGGGGATAAAGAAATTATATTAAATGTATGGACTAGATTACTCTTAAAAGTTGAGCTGGCTGGGGAACAAATTCCTACTAAAATGGTATTGTGAGCTCTGTTCTCAATCAGGAAATACAGGCAAAGAGGATTTTTCTTTCCCCCCTTTTTTTTTTTACTTTTCTTTTTTTTCACCCCTCCATAATTTTTCTACCTTAGTGCAGGAAGTTCAGCTGGTCCTGTTCCTTGCTATTATTTGCTTGAGAATGTCACCTCTGCTGACAGCAAGAGACAGATATAGAAGTCAGAGATAGAAAAGATTCAGGCTCTTACTTTTTGCTTTCAGAGTTCAATCTCATTTTGTTGTGAATGTCTGTATTTCCTTCTGGAAGAATATGACAGGTGGAGCAGCTGAGTGTTTTTTCTTCATGCAGATGGAAACTCTGCCCCTCTGAGAGGAAGGTTAGCCTTTCTTGTTTTGAATACAGCTTTTGAAATGACCGTGATGCAAATTAATTTCTTTTTAATTAAAAACAATATAAAATAGAACAAAAATTAGCAGAGTTTACAAGGAATTAATACCTACTGTCTTGGGAAGTTCAGGTTACAGAATGAACTACAGATAGCAGACATTCAGAGGCAGTTTAAGGGAGTTAGGTAGCTGCTGTCACTCTTTTAAGTCCTTGTTGGATGAAGGGCTGAAAGAACTGATGTTACCGGCAATTTACTTGGGCCAAACAACAGTACTGTTCAAAGACTTCAGTGTGGTATACAGGGGCCCAAGTGTAAAGTGTTTTCCATACAGATAAGCACTTATAGAAGAATGACAGATAACAAGTCATAAAAGCAAATGTCAAAAAAGGTCCTTCTGCAAAGTTAATAGCATTTGTTCAGAGAGCAGGAGGTTTAAAGCTTAGATACTTTTTATTTATCCCAGAGTGACTGACAGCTCAGTCACTGAGCCAAGTTTTCTTCTTATATTAACTTTGGGAGTACAGATTACTGGGGTTTAGTTTGGTTTCGGTTGTGGTTTTTGATTTTTTGTTTTGAGATTCTTTTGTGTTTTGGTTTTTGGTTTTTTTTTTTGGGGGGTGTCTCTGTTTTTTTGCTTTTTAGTTGTTTTTTGTGTTTTTTTTTTTGGGGGGGTGGGGAGGTTGTGGTTTTAGTTTTTTTTTTTCTGTTGCCTGGACAAATACTTGCCTGCACTACTTAGATCTAGGAGTTAGATTTGCTTGTCATTTTTACAGAATCATATATAAAGATTGAAAAGGCAGACTGATTTCTAGTATGTGTGTCCTACAGGATGTTCAGTAGATAATATGAAAGAGAACTGAATTAACATTCTGATGAGCTCAGATTTCACTAGTTATTTTGAAAGGTAAGCATAGTACACAAGTGATCTAGTGCATATAGCAACTCACAGAAAGAAAGCACTTTTCAGTGATTAACATTAACCTCCACCTACCACACATTTGAAAATACATAGAAATAACTGTAAAACACCATCATAAGCTAGACAGTGTAAGAGACAGGGTCTTAGAAAGGAGTAACATATAGGAAAAGATGAGCCTGTGACACAGGATGATCTAGAGCAAGGCCAATCTTAGCAGACAAACATCCTCTTCCAATTAGTGATGTCTATAGAAGAGTTTTTTCTCTCCCAGCCTCCTGACACCATCACCTACCAAAGTTATTGCCATCCCTCAGCCAGAGGTGTAGGTTGTACACATCATGTAAAACTGGCCAGGTTATGGATAGTTGGACAATTTTAACTCTTTACATCAGGTTTCTGCTAGATTAGGAAAGGAAAGGTGATGAGATTATTACAAGACTGTGATAAACCTGAAAAAATATGCTTAACTTCCTCATCCCTAGTCCTCCAGCTGAAAACTGATATGTGGCATGGCTGGAACAAACTCCAAATTCTTTGGCTCACTCTGCAGTTTCCCATTTTCCGGTCTGCGGACAAGGATTGAGTACCACATTCTCCTGTCCTACCCTATTTCATGACCAAGCCATAAAACCAATATCTAACAAAGCTCCATATGAGTGAGTAGAGGGGGTTTCTCCCAGGGGAGCAACATTTCTTATTTTTATGTAAATAAGAAAATCAAGTATACTATTTAGTTACGGCCAAGCTTCTCTGAAATGTATTCAGTGACCCAAAATGTATCCCCAAGTACTTGGACCACCTCCATCTCTCTTACTTGCCAAAAAAAACCAATAGCAACCATTTATACAGACAACAGAGGAATTTTAAACCATACTGTATGATTGCTTTATATCAGAGAAGGAATTTTTTATAAGCTGACAAAATTTGCAAGGTTTATACTTTGTTGATGTAAATATCACACAATAGATTCACAAAAGACTTTTAACTGCTGAGTTATGCTTCTTTGATTCAAGACCATAGGGTTATTTTCTTTTGCTCTAAATCTATTGCTTATTTCATTCGTACCCAAACAGTGGAACAGGCTGCTTACCTTTCCATTACCATGGGAAAATACACTTATTCCTTCATGTAAATATCTATGTCTTTTCACCTGTTCATGTACAGTGCACTCAGATCAGATACATTCATTTAAAATTAATCTCCCCTCTTAACCAAGCTTACACAGGTGAAGCGCATGGCTAGCAACTGACTCCTAGCTAGCAACAGGGACTGCTACATGTGTACTAGATGGAGGTCAGCATCAGAAACTGAAATGCCCAAATGATGGTCAGCATCCGGTTGGTACCTTTCAGTAACAGTCTCAGGTGCCATTTCTGATGCAGCACTGATGGGAGTTAGCCTGTGTCTGCATCTGCAGCCAGACAGCATGCAGCATGGCTTATTTGCATGTTGGGGGCCCCTGATCAGCCATAGATTCTTTCTGTTGTGTAAATGAGACCTTATGCAATGAGCAGGTCTCCAAAAGCTCCAGTGCATTTCGTCAGCATCTCACTCCAGGGGAGCAAGTTCCTCTAAGGTAAGTCTTTCTCTTTATGGGAGTTCATACAGTCCAGACAGGTGTTAATAGCCAAATTCCAGCAGGATCATCCTTTCCCCTTCCCTTTCTGTGCTTCCTCAGCAAGGCTGGAGAAGGGATGTGCTGCTGGGATAATGAGCTGTCTCAATGTTGCTGTGACTCTTCCATGATACTGATCTCACCACAGCAACTGCATGAGACTCATACTTTAACAGGACAGACTGCCGATTAATTTGGAGCTCAAACACAGGGACCTCTTTCCAACCAGTGTTCAAAAAGAAACATTTAATCTCCCTTCACTACAAAGTGCAATATCATGATTCAAGTGGGAAAAGGTGGCCTAAGAAAATGCTTGATGTATTGCACTTACTTCAAATGCAAATTGATTTTTTTTTTTTATAAATGTCAAATCCCACTTTATGCACACACTATTGATTAAGAACTAGCTGACAGAGATCTTTAACCAGAGTTATTGGTACAGAATTGTCCTTCACAGAGGGGATTTTCTGTAAAGGTTCTTATCTACATCCAAATCTATTCAGTTTCTTCTGTCTAGAAAAGCAGACATGAAAGCAAGCCATGTACTCATCCACCTTTTCATGCACTATTCAAAGGTGGCATGGACCACATAATAAATGTCTGTAATAGGAACTACAGAGAATCTTGCTGAAGTAAAGATCAACACGTGCTCTTTTGTCATTCAAGCATTCTATTGCTGGTAGCCTCAACAGCTGCAGATTGTGAAGCTAGTTTCTGCCAGCCTTTCTTAATGAACAAGCTACTTGTCTGCTTTAAGTAGGCCATCTTTTGCTCTGGTGAGATACATATCTATACATATGAAAATGGACACTTACCTATAATGTAAATAATGTATGCCTCAGACAACAAAAAGGATGTTATGCAGCCAGTGATTGTTATGGGAACGCTCTTCATAAGCTGCATTGATTTACATCATAACTTCACAGCAGGATGAGACAAACACTGCCTTGTCATGCACCTGTGTAGCTTCTGCACTGATTCTCCTAAAAGGTTCCAGTAGCACCTCAAGCAACCAGAAATGCACACAGGATGTTTCTGAGGCAGTGTGATGCTTGCTACAGTACTGAACAGAGCAATTAGCTACAATTCTTGAGTAATATGTACCAGAGAACTTCACATTTCCTCTCAGTAAGTTACATTTCTTATCTCATATCCTATCTTTGTATCACTTTTATTCATTTCAAAGCAAAAGGATCAGAAAATATTAATACGAAGGGCAATAAATTCCATCATTCCACAGTATATAGAACAAAAATAAACTTCCACTTTGCTTTGTTGAAGTCAAGACAGAATGAGCTACACTAGAGTGAGCTACTAAATAGGACACTGAAGCCAAAGCAAGTAAGGGGAGAGCACTGTTGAGTCTTGAAAGACAGAAGTTAGAGGTTTTTTTCATGGAACATAGCCCCTCCCGGGTCTCAATTCGTACTCCAAGGAGATAACAATTTTGGGAGTAGAAATAACTTCCAAGCTACTTATAAATATAGAACTCTGTAAGGCATTTTATTTAGTGCCATGTGACATACTAACCAAAGGGCCAGTGCTACAGAGTATCATTTTATGCATACTTTACCTGGCAAAAAGGAGATGACTGAGAAACATGTAACAAGAGACAGATTTCTAGAAATCTACAGGAATAGCAGGAACTTTCTTTCCCTAAGAGAACTGCCAGGAAAGCACTGCAGAACTACC